GCGAGACCTCATCTCTACAATAAATCAAAAAATCAGCCGGGCGGGGTAGAGCATGCCTGTAATTCCGGCTACTTGGAAGGCGGAGGTGGAAGGATCGTCAGAGCCCAGCAGGTCAAGGCTGCAGTGGCCGGGAGCAGCCACTGCACTCCAGTCTGGGCAACAGAGCGAGACTCCAACTCAAAAAAAAAAAAAAAGAAAATATACTATAATCTTAACTCAGAGGTTGATATTTCAATTCAAATGCAACTTATTTATCACCAAAGGTCACAAAGGCTCAAAAAAGCCTAAAATGCTGGTGTGATGGCTCACACCTATAATCCTAGCACTTTGGGAGGCCCAGGCAAGAGAACAGCTTGAGACCAGGAGTTCAAAACCAGCCTGGGCAACACAGTAAGATCTCATCTCTACAAAAAATCAAAATATGAGCTAGGTTGGTGATGTTTGCCTATAGTCCAAACTACTCAGGAGACTAAGCAGGAGGATCACTTGAGGCCAGGAGGCTAAGGCTGCAATGAGCCAAGATCATGCCGCTGCACTCTAGCCTGGGTGACATGGCGAGTCACTGACTCAAAAAAAAAAAAGCAAGAAAAGAAATAAAAGTCTAAGTATGACACTTGGAATTCAGAGAAAACCACAAGGTGCTACAAAGGCTGTTGAAACATTTTATCATATTAGTAGAACTATCTTATTTTGGATCTGTGATGAATGCCTGAAAAACAGGGGGCCGACCACAGATTACAACAAGGAAAACACAGTAAAAAGAATCCACAACAGCAAACACTAATTTTCTTGCAAACAAATTTGGGCAAGTTTCCTCATCATTAAAAAAGAGACCATAGAAGACTTCGTCTCTATAATAAATTTTTTTTAAAAGCCAGGAGTGGTGGCACCTGCCTATAGTGCCAGCTACTTGGAAGGCTGAGGTGGAAAAATCACCTGAGCCCAACAGGTTGAGATTGTGGTGAAACTGCACTCCAACCTGGGTAACAGAGTGAGATTCCAACTCAAAAAAAAAAAGATGTCAGCTATGATTCTGTTAACAATAAAGCACTAGAACATCCACCACAGTATAGCCAGTCATTATGTCAAAATGAAAATCTGAGCAGGTCATCCCCTTTTTTCATGACCTTCCACTAATTTTAGGACAAAGATCAAAAAATTCTAGCAAGGCCCAGAGCCCTTACATAATCATTATCTTCAAACAATTCTGTGGTTTACAGAAAATGCTCTAGTTTTCTGAGAAGGTAGATTTCAGTAACTTATTTACAAGGTTCCTAGATGATATTATGGAAAAGATAGTCATCTAAGGACCACCTGGCAATTTCTAATCCATAAACAATACTTACCTTGCTAACTGAACAAGAAGGTCAACAAGTGAACAAATTCCTTCTCCCATTAGAGTATTCAACTTAAGTTCCTCGTAGACAAGGTGAAGAACAAAAAAAATCGCAGGTATGTGAGTAAAGAGAAGTGTAGAAGAATCCAGACTGAGGTTCTGTGAAAAATCCTCATCTTTCATCTGTGAAACTTCCAAAGGGCTCAAACATAAAGATCTATTCAAAAGATGAGACTCAACATTCTGGTGGTAGTCTGAATTCAGTAAATATTCCCAGTCCTGAGAAGAGTAAAAAGGATATTAACTTTTTTTAAAAAATAATACTTCCCTATAATGCTATCATTAATAAAGGTAACCAAATTCACTTAAATTATATGAAAAAAAATCACATTATTAAACAACAACAAAAAAAGGAGCAACTACAAAATAGGAAGCAATTTCCAGAGAAGCCACCTTCAAATTACATTTTACAAAATCTATTCATGTCCTTTTAGGAAAGCAACTGTGGGAGACTTATACTATGTGGGACTGAAAGAGAAAATTAAAACTATCTCAGGCTATGTTTTATAAAACAAAAGTAAAGAATAAAAGCTAGTAAGTGTAGTTGAGCAGGCTGAAGTGCCATTATACCGATTTGTATTTTGGTAAGAGGGAAGGTTTACCTGTACTTAGTTGGTATATTCATGCTTCTGTGTTTACAAAATGCTGGGGCTAGTAATACAATGTAATAATCAACAGCAACTTATATTAAAACCAATTGTACTACATTTTCCAAGTATTAGGTCTATTTTGGTTACTACTTGTGATTTATTATATTGTGTTCAAAGAATGTGGTTTATGCTACTTCCAGAACTTAAAATTTACTGGTATTTTTATAAGGTTTAATATAATGTGTCACTTTTTTTTTTTTTAATTTTTCTGTACCAAGAGAATCAGAGTACTAACTTTAAAACTCTTAGACCAGATACAGAAACTAACTACCAGACTGGGTGCGGTGGCTCACATTTATAATTCCAGCACTTTAGGAGGTGAAGGCAAAAGGACTGCCTGAGCCCAAGGATTTGAGAATAACCTGGGCAACCTGGCGAGACCTTGTCTTGTCAATAACTCAAAAAATTAGCTGGGTATAGTGATACACACCTGTAGCTCCAGCTACTTGGAAAACTAAGGCAGAAAGATGGCCTGAGCTCAACAAGTCAAGGCTATGGTGGCCATGAGTGTGCCACCACACTCCAGCCTGGGCAACAGAGTGAAACTCTAACTCAAAAATAAAAAGAAAAAACTAATAAATTGGATAACAAAACTTAAAATTCTGTTCATGGAAAGATGCTGTTAAGCTACACACTAAAATAAAATATTTGCAACACATGTGTATGGTAAAAAAACAAAACAAACCAAAAAAAAAGAAATCTCATGTCCAGAATATATAAGAAACTTTTTTTTTTTTTTAGAGACAGTGTCTTGCTCTGTTGGCCAGGCTGGAAGGCAGTAGCAAGATCACAGCTCACTGCATCCTCGAATTTCTGGGCTGAAAAGATCCTCCTACCTCAGCCTCCTGATTAGCTGGGACTACAGGCATGTGCCACCATGCCTGGTTAATATAAGGAATTTTTATAACTCAATTTTTTAAATCCAACTAAAAAATAGATAAGACTTGAACAAAAACTTCCAAAGAGATACATAAGTAGTTAATGAACACATAAAAGAGTACTTAACATTCTTAGTAGTCAGGAAAAAACAAATTTAAACCATTAAAAGAAACTATTTAATGTACACTCAAATGGTTAAAACAAGAAAGACTGACAATACCAACACTGGCAAAGATGTAAACATGAGGAACTCTCATACATTACTGGTCAGAATTTAATACGACACAATCAATTTAGAAGTCAGCAATGCCACAGTAATGTCACTACTAAGTATTTATCCAAAAGAAATGAAAATATATGTCCACAAAGACTTGTCACTGAATGCCAGCAGCAGTTTTATCCCCAACCTCAAAAATGAAAATGGCCTACATATCTACCAGCAGAAGAACAAATAAACAAATTATGGAATATTCATACTACTCAGCAATACAAAGGTACAAACTATTGATATCTCTTAAATACAAATGAATCTCAAAAACTTTATGCTGAATAAGATAAATTGTATATCAAAGATTACATACCATACTATTTCATCTATACTATACCAAGTTCTCAAACAGGCACCACTAACATATGGTGATAGAGTTCAGATCAGTGTTTACTTGAGGAAGAGGAGAAAAAACTGATTAAAACAACACAAGGAAGTGGGGCGCGGTGGCGCATGCTTGTAATCCCAGCACTTTGGGAGGCAGAGGCAAGAGAATTGCCTGAGTCCACGGGTTTGAGACCAGCCTGGGCAATTTGATGAGACCTTGCCTCTGCAATATATCCAAAAATTAGCTAGGCATGGTGGCGCATGCCTGTGGTCCCACCAACTTGGAAGGCTGAGGTGGAAGGTAGAGGCTGCAGTGACTGTAGGCGTGCCACTGCACTCCAGCCTGGGTGAAAAAGTGAGACTCCAACTAAAAAAAACAAACAAAAAAGCAGTACAAGGTAACTCTATGGAGTTATGGAAATGTTTATCTTGAGTGTGGGTTACATGAATGTGCATAAGTCAAAACTAATGAACTGCAAACTTAAGATGTCAGGATTTCATTTATGTGAATTATACCTCAATTTAAAAAAACTTTGAGGACCACTTAAGAATACATCCAGGGAATCTAACCCATTTAATAACCTAAATTAAGCCGGGCTCGGTGCCTCAGTCTGTAATCCCGCGCTTTGGGAGGCTGAGGTTAGTGGATTGCCTGAGCCCGCGGGTTCGAGATCCACCTGGGCAACTTGGCGAGACCTCATCTCTACAATAAATCAAAAAATCAGCCGGGCGTGGTAGGGCGC